GTTTGAAGAATTCTGGCAGTCGACTTTCGCTAGCCACCAAGAGCCAGAAGGAGGGTGGCCCGAAAGAATTCAAGCTTGCGTCAAGTGGTCTTCCAAACCGTGTGTAGCGGAGGAAGTGGCTGTAGAAGTTTCCGAGGTTGTTCCTCAGATAGAAGAACCCGAGTCAGGATCTTCATCTGATAGTCTAGACAGCGATGATCATCAATATCCTAGCTCTCAAACAACTCCCGAGCTTGATTCGCCATTCGTTTCTGACCAAAATGACTTACCCTCTTCAGGCCACCTCACTAATGTGTCACCATTCGTCGGTCGACTCGGACCCGCGCTCTTTTCCCCTTTCGAAACTTTAGAGTCTGACTCTCCACTATTTCCCTCTATCTTCTTTCCAACAACGCCGACGCGTCAAAACCGTGCTGAGACGCCCCCTCGCCCCCAAAAGCCCTCTGCTACTCCAGAATCGTTCCATTCGCTCTTGCTTCGTTCACCCGCTTCGACATTACCATTGCCCTCAGTTCCTCCATCGACCCCGCGGAGGTTACCAGCCAAGTTAGAAAAGACGCCATGCAGTGCGTCACCAGGCAAGCGGCGGATGCTCGAGGACAAGGAAAATATGTCACCTGTTCGGTCGGTCATGCAACGCATCGCGAACAGTTCTCCGAGCAAGGAAACTGCCTCCTTATCCATGCTTGGACAACGACAACCACTTGACGACCCTCTGGACGATATCACTATAAAAGGAAGGAGAGCATGTGGAACATTCATTCGTTCTTCCATCGAGTTTCCATACGTTGATGCAGATAGTGATCTCGAGGACGAACTGGTTGTGGCGAGTCTTCTCTCCCCGAGTAGATCGTCAGTGTCGACTATCTGTTCAGCTCCAGTTGTCAATGTCTGCAAGAAGCGGAAACGCATGCTCATGGATGCTGTTGTTCTCCCTCCCCTTGAAGAAGTTCGTCTTCGGTGGCAGATGCAGCGTCGGGCTAGCATCGAGCAACCGTCCGTTGTGACCACCCCCAGCAACGGCATGCGACGCACACGTTCTTTACCTTTGCTCTCGGACGCTGAAATAGACGACTCTGATTGTCGCCAGAAGAGGATGAGGCTCTGGGACGATTCGGACTCGACTACCTTGGAGGAGCAATTGTCTTCTTCGCCCCTGAGGGCTCTGGAGGACATACAGATGGCAGGTAGTGGTGAGTGTAAATCTAATTTCGATCATCACATGTCACTAATTATTCTGATCAGATGATTCTATCATGCTCACTGGGCCTATACGTGAGCCACACAAAGGATCAGATGATGATCTTCACGCCCTCGAGGTTCCTCCCCAACATCTGGTATCACCAGCTCCACGAAAAATGACGCATGACCTATCTAGCGACCCTCCTTCGAGTCCATCCAGAGAACTACTCGCTCGTCGCAAATATCGCATGATTTCCCTTTCTGAGAAGCCAAGTTTATCAGTCTGACCAGCATCATATCCACTGCACACATACCAACAATATTCGTCTCATACTTATGATATGTATCATTAACTGTCTCGCTGTGTCTATTGTAGCTGTCATGGATTTGTCATTATCGTAATTACAGGAAATTGTACTGCAGATCAAATGGAATACTTGTGATATGATGACACTAGACCCCGAGTCGCAGAACTTCACGAACGAACCACTGTCTTCTTGCGCTACCAGTGGCGGGCACTGGTGGGCATCAGAAGATCCCGATCGACAGTCGCCCGGTGTGTTCCCCGTCGATGGAATTCTGTCCATCGCCCCTGTTCAGGTATTATTCTCGGCATTCGAAGGTGTTGCATAACTGACAGGGCCGTTGCAGTAACTTAGATGAAACGATCAAGCCCTCAACCATCTTTAATTGCAAGGGGTAAATTCAAGCTATCGGTGTCGATTCCGATCCGACGAAGACAACGTCGATTCGGTGGGCCCATCAACCATGCATAGATCTTGATTGATGCCCGTGACTAAAGTTCGAGGCTGGCCAGATCTATGCAGTCAACGTTATTTAGCCACGATCATGATCCTCAGTTTTTACTCTTCGTCGCAGATAGTGCTGTTAATTTCTGCTGAAGGACACACGGAGCTACTAGGTGTGGCAAGGTTTCAAAGACGACTGTAGCGGCCATCCGTTTCCTATGGATCTGATTGGCGTTGTTCTGTGCCTCTGCATGGAAGGGGAAATAACATTTCAATTGACTGACTTCGCATTACAGATACAAATCGCCGTTTCTGACCGGCAGACGGGTACCATTGAAACCGACCTAGACTTGGACCGTCATTGAAGGGCTACGATGTTCCCTTACCGTATTTTCCAATTTACTTCAATTTTGTTCCTGTCGAAAATTTTCCCGTATATTAGCTTAACAATGCTGTTAAAATTTTGAGTCGCAAGCGCAAGGATGTTCTGTATAGTTATACTTGCCTCTAGACGGCGCTGCTGCTGCAGTACGAGATGGAGCTATACTTAAATGTTATTCTGACAGCCAGGTCGATGATGGAGGCGAGGACAAATTGTCAACAAGTTAAGCCCGCAAATGGTGTTGTTTGTCATACACAGCAAGACAGTTGGATGCACCCGGGGTTAGCCACCCTTGGCAGCACTTTCCTGCCGTTCGCACAGGTCTGACAGACCCGGTTTCCATGAGAAACTGGTCTCCGAGACCCCCCCTCCCGCCCTCTAATAATAGCACCTATGTCTCCCACATTACCGAGTGAGTAAACTGGCCTTATGACAATCTTAGTAACACTTAATAAAGCCTAAACTCGTTCGTATGGAGCACCACCAGTGCACACATGCAGGTGCTGCCAGTGGTTACTTCATCAACCATTTGGGCAACTCCTTCACCTCCCATAATGGGCACAATGCCGCCACCTGTCTGCTCGTCATCAACAACAGTGAGCTCATATATATAGTCCAAATACCATGTTCTATCAGCATTTTTTCTATATATCATGAAGTAGTGTGATGTACAAGCCTTAGACTGCTTTTTTGACTGAATTATTCAATGTTCTCATATGTTTTTGTTGCTTATATGTTCTTGCACATGAGGAAGGTGACATATGTAAATATATTGAGATCAACTATTCTACAACTAGGGATCTGCACGGGTACGGGTAACCCGTGCGGGTCACGGGTACGGGTACTACTGGGGTACGGGTACGGGTCGGGATTCTAAGACCCACGCTCTTACCCGTACCCCAGCTATACCTGTGCCTTCGGTAATTTTACCTCTCGTCCTCGCACACTCCTCAACTGCAACCATCATCAATGTCTTCGCTCACCACACCACTATCAACATCTTCGCACCCAGCATTCCCACGTGCACGCTACAACTGGCACCACCACCAACACCGGCACCTAACACGCCTTCCCAAGTCCACCAACTCCACGTTCACAGCGCGCGTGCCCGAAACGCATCAACAAGTGTTGACACGATGCAAACGCACGCGGATGACATGCGAAGACGAAAGGACAAGAGAATTGAAGAAGGGAGAAGGGATGGTATAGAGATGAAGGAGGAAAGAGGAACTTGAGGAGACGAGACTTTGGGCACGCTGGAAGTGAGTACTCACATTGAAGACTCTACCCCCAGCAACAACAACAATGTCATATGCGTCACGTTGCTGGCGCCTATCTTTGTGCGCCCAGCACTCGCACCACCACCAGCACTCGCACCACCACCAGCTTTCATGCCAACACCACCATCCACGACGCCAACACCACCATCCGTGTCACCTTCGCCATCATTCGCACCACCATCTTTGTCATTCACGCTGGCACTAGCGCATACCCCAGCGACACCATCACCAATGACCACTATGCCATTCCCAATGCGACGGATGCCATGCGCGAATGCCCAGCGTGCGCCCCTCCTCCTTCTTGTGCCATCCACATATGTTCAAGTCACGTCAGCATTCGCTGACATGTGCTGGACATATGTGCTAAGCACTGGCGGATCTATGACCTGCAGGTACACCCTTGATGGGTTGTACCCTGGGTCCTTACTTCGCTACCCACTGTGCAACCTGTACCCTTGCTGCAGGTGTGGGTTTACCTCAGGGTGCGGGTGCGGGTTGACCTGCCGACACCCGGGGGTTCACCCGTGCGGACCCCTATCTACAACATAGTAAGTGTAAGTTAGATGTTGTCCTGGTCTGATTCAACAATAGCCTTGCTCTTCTTGCTCTTTTCCCCTGCTGGAGCCCTTTCCCAGTGTGCTGGCCACGTTTCTCACTCAAGCCAGGTTGTAACTGCTGAGCCTTTTCTGTGAGCTTGCGAGCACATTTAGGGCATCATTCATCTGACAAAACAGCATCAGTTGAAGTGCAGTTGCACTTGTGATTGGTTGCAGGGACAAGGACACCCCCATAAAGTGCACTTGAAGTTGTGAAAGGTTGTGGCTGAGGATGTGGCATGTGGCATTGGAGATGGGTCAGTGTACAGTCAGAATTCTCAATAGAGAGTTGAGGCGGGGCAGGTAATACTGGGTGCTGCAAAGTGTCAAAAGCTGCAGAAGGCGAAGTGAGCATGTGTTCATTAGGCAACTCTATTAAACTTACTAAGAGCACAAATGGCAGGATCCTACATATCATCTGTAAATGCGGAGACATGGGTAAGTTCATCCAAGGTACCACTGGTGGGTGATGTGGATGGAGACGTGTCGACACCAGATTCATGATTGCTATCTCCAGTGAAAGAGTTATGAAATAAATTGTTCACATCATCATCATGTGATTAGGGATCAGCAGGGGTAAACCCACGGGTGCGCAGCCACCAACCTGTACCCATACCCGCAAGATACCTGTAAGGTATGGCCCACGCGCTTCCCGCTAATGAAATGTGACAAAGCATTACTTTTGTTTGAAATGTCAATGGCAGTTGTAAAACACCTATTTTGCAAAAAGAAATCGCGCAGGGTTCTTTGTATTTACACTGCACACAACGCTGCGCGGCTGGATTTTTGAAAAAATTGAAATTGAAAGTGCCATTAAGAAAACGAATGTTATGAGCCCTTTTGAGCCTTGTTGTTGCGTGACAAAACTAAGGGGGAACACAAAATTGGTACAACATTCTCAAACTACCACGGCACAATGCCCAAACATGCACTGAAACACCTGAAGAACCTTGGTGGATATGCAGAAATTTCGTTGATGTGCTTGCATCAGTCAGCGTTGAGCAAATGCGCAAGTGAGTTGAATTTTTCATTTTCATTTGCTTTATCTCACCTGAGATCATTCAGATATGCATGCCGATCTCGTAGATTTATGGATGGATATCACAAAGGTCTAACAGGAAAGCAAGCTGCCTGGGCCACTAAGATATATAAAGGATATCAAGTCCTCCCTAATTCCATTCTGGCAGAACTCGAGAACGCTGGGCTCTGACTAAGTATTTCACTTATTTCTAATTGATAATTCACTGTTTAATAGTCTACACAACTCATACACTACATAATTGTACTAGTTCTGATGTGTCCCATGTTCTTATTTTGCTACTTCATTCGAGCGTGATCTCGTCCAGGATGATCATCTAGTGTTTCAGGTCACAGCTAGTCACATCGTGTCACATGCCATCACACGTTAGTGGAAAGTGCGTGAGCCATACCTTACCCTTATACCCATGGGTCTTGGGGGGTATGGGTAGCTGGAGGGGTACAGTGTGGGTCAAGGGTATGGTGGGTATACATGTACCCACAGAACTGAATTGTATGCAATGAGAATACATCATATAAATTACCCTAGTACAATACTATCCCACCCATCCTGCAGCTCCTCCTCAGCTTCGATATCAGGCAAGCTAGCAGTTGAGTGAATGTCGCGATCCTTCACCAATCCTAGTTGGCTCCATAGCCCAACGCAAAGGAATGCACGTGTAGTCTGTGCGGAGAGACGGCTTCAGACATGGGAGAGAAGTAAGCGCCCATGGCTGAAAATACGCTCAACGTCAATGGAGGTTGCTAGAATCATTAATGTCAGAGAATATACTAGTGTTAAAATGAAAACATACCAGGGATAGTAAGGTAGTCCAACGCCATTTGAGAGAGTCGTGGGTAAGTCTTTCGGTGCCCACACCACCATGCTATCGGATCCGAAACATCCTCGATGTCTGCATTGAGGTAACTATTGAGTTCCTCAGCAGATGTACTAGTGGACTTGGGATGGGCAAGTGTGGGTAAACGGTCGAAGATATTTGTGTCCTGAGGGTTGATGTTAGCTGCGATAATGGAAATTATGTTGGTAGCACGCACCTTGTCAACCTCTGATACTGCTGGTGGCGGATTAGCATTGTTATTAGTAGGGACCGGTAAGTGAGACACATAACACTTGAATTCTGTGCAAACAAGGTTTTCAGCTGTGTCGATCCAGTCCTGCTGCCAGCCGGCAGACCGAAAATATGACAGCTTGTGCTGGGGATGGAGGACTACAAGATAATTAGATTTAGACTAGAAAACAACATAAAAACAAAAGACACACCCATAGCAATGTGATACACTTCAGAGGAGTCAGAACATGAGTAATAGCGGTTTAGAGTTCACTTTGCAAGTACAAGAGCTGCGCTGATGGCAGGATCAAGGTGGTCATCCTGGACGATGCAGCTGGTGAAAACATTGTCGATATGATCCATGGCTGGGATGACTGTTGCAAGGTTTGGGGTTGCTCGTGAGAAGTAAAGTGTCGCATCCTTGAGTATCTGTGACTGTTATGTCAGCATGTGTTACTAGTGTCATGTGACCACATACCTTCAACACATCATGCAGTTGTTTCACAAGCATCCACTCACCATCTTCCAACACATATTCCCCAAGACCCAACTTTTGCTTGTCAACGATGACATCAATCGCATTTCGGTACTCCAATGCGAAGTTCAACATATCAAACGTTGAATTCCAACGTGTTGAAACATCCCTTGGCATGATTTGCTGTGCAAGCTTCAAGTCTTCAAGAATGCCTTTCCACACAGGAAGGAGGATTGTTGTTGAGTGAACGATCTTGGTGGCGAGTTTTTGGAGCTGTGATGGGTATTAGTATACACCACAGGTGAGTCTTTTGTTGTTACCTTTACTAGTAGCAGTCTAATTGGCCGAATATTGGCTGCCAACTCCAAGCGCTCGTTGTGATTGAGCAGTGTCTCTTTGTTTACCCACCCATCATTATTATCATCATTCTCGGTGTCTTTGTTTGGGTCTTCGACCCGTGTCTGCAAGTCCTCAAGTTCGATATCCCTAGTAAGTCCATCCAATTCTTCATCTCTCTCTCCACCCTCTCCAGCCTTATTTTTTGAGGTGTCGAACTCATGTAACAGGGACTTAGCAACAAGATTGATGATATGCAAGAAACATCGTGTGTGACTTGCCTGACCCGCAAAGTGGGGCACCAGATCTACGAGTTCTGTCACGAGAGTATCGTTTGATGATGCATTGTCTGCTGTCACACTGAGTATCTGTGTGCCATGCCACTGGTGAGTTATTCCTCGAACCGATAATAAATTTTTTTACCTTGTCTGAGATTCCGAACTGTTCTAGGACATTTGCGAATGCCTCCACCAAATTAGCGACAGTGTGCGACTGTGTGTGCCTGTCAGCATGATTTCAATTGATGGTAAGTTTTTTACCTTTGAAACTTCAACAATGTCAAGAATCATAGCTAAAGGCTGACCTTCGTGCTCCAGATGGACTGATATAGCCACAAATGAACAATAATTCGGGGAGGTCCAGGCATCAGTTGCAAAATTAAGTTTGCCATCATAGTTCTGGTGAGCATTTGAGTTTGTGTCTTATCCTGTGCTAAGTTTGACTTACTTGTAACATGTTTGCTATACGTTTGCATGTTTTTATGAACACTTGTTTGATGTCGTGTGAGACAGTTGAAGGGATGGTAAGTAATACTCTGGACACCCAGTCTTCATTAGGGCATTGAAACCACAATCATTGACGATTTTGAACGGTCGCAGGCTCTCGGATACCCAACGCACAACCTCTACCCCGGTTATATGGTATCAGAGGTGTCTACTGTGCTTGCTCAAGACATACCTAGTCTCAGCACATGTATGCTGACGGTGTGAATAGGTAACCTTTCCCTTTCCTTTTTGTGTGAAGGAAGTTCTGATTGATCCAGTTTCAAGTAGGCTCTTGATAGGCCCTTCACATGCAGCCTCGGTGTTTCCTGAAGCCATTGCTGATTGTAAGGCAGGTTCTCCCCAACAACTCTTGACATGCTTTCACATATTGCCAGTTGATTTTGCATCTTTTTTATCAAGGTATCGTCGAACTTTGTGTTTGCAGCCATGCGCAGCACATTTAAAGACATGACATCGGCGCTTGTCGTGGTACTCGATTGCTGGTATTGGCTTGAAAAAGGCATAGATTGGTGATGTCCAATCTCGCATAAGTCTCTCTGCATTCATCTGTCATTAGATTTTGCATGACATGTTTCATAAGTACATACCTAGCTCAGTGTCTGATGATTCTGATGGATCCTCTTTAGAACTCTCTGCATCTTCATTATCGGCATCGAACTCAATTACAATAGTGTCTGCAACGTGGTGAGCTGCCTCCTCTTCTTCTTCCATCTCTACAGTAGCTTGATAACTCCGTGTTGATGATGGACTATTTCCATGCTCTATCTCTGTGGATGCCATCACCTTAGGCTGTTTCGATGTGACTGTGGAAGCAGGAGCCTTATCTGTAGTTTTTCACTTTGCTCGATTGCCTTCTGCGGCCATAGCAAGTGCCTTCTTAGTGGGCTTGGTGGTCCGTTTAGATAACATTTGTTGATAGGCGGGCACTGAGTGGATATAGTTAGATTAGACTCGTTATCAGCCTTTGTTAATTTGTAATGTGTATTGATCATGTGGTACTGTACAGTTATATATACAATCTATGGACCTATGGACCGAGGGTCCTGTATTTGGTCCAAGGGTACCATGTTTGGTCCATGGGTCCCAAGATCCCTACCCATACCCATACCCCTGGGTACCCCTACCCATGACCCCCAGGGGTTACCCATACCCCTGCTGATCCCTACATGTGATGGAGTAGATGATTCATTCACAGAGTTAGATGCAGGTGGAAGTGAATTTGGGGGAGTAGAATCCAGGTCTGAGGAATGCCTAAGCAAAATATTAGCTGAAAGAGACTCTGCAGTTGAAGGTGAAGATAGAGATGGGTCAGTGTCAGTAGGCAGTTGAGGTGTGTCAGGCGATGAGCTGCAGGTGAGTTCAATAGGCATGGAGGGCTTGACCTCGGGAGTGAGCTTCTCCCCATTCTTCATGTGTTGTAAATGGTCTTCAAGTTCCTCACTTGAGATTGGAACAAAATGGCATGTGCCACTTGCAATGGCATTTGCAAAGTTCTCAAGGCTCTCTATGCCACCCTTTAGATCTGACGGATTCACCCACTGTGGGTGAGTCCAACCAATGAGCTTGACCTAATGACAGCAGATGAGGTTATGATACTGTGCAAACTCTACAGTTGCAGAGAGGTCATTAGTTATACTACCTGTATTTTTAGTTAGTGCATAATTTATGAAAGCAATCAATCAAAAACCTACATAGTGAGGTGCAAAGGCCCATTCTGATAGCTGTTTTAGCCTTAAACACACAATCACGGTGACCTGCACCAAACTGGTTTGGTGCATGGACCAGTAATACTTTCCTATGAGTCTTATACCCCAGAAATCACTATGAACATTTTTTTTCTCTTGATCTGAAGTCACACTGAGGCTCAGGGAATATTTTTCGCATTTTTTTCATTATACAAGTTTGTACGCGAGTGGACTGAATATTTTTGTACATTTAATTCTGTGATGAGTTTTGCTTAGTCAGCCATGAAGATGACTCAGAAAGATTCTCACACATATCAGGTGACTGTGAAAAATATGTTTGCATAAGGTTACCCTGTGGGAAAGCTTACAAATCGCTAAACATGCACCCTATGTCATTATGCTACCAAATAATTTATCAGCCACAGATGTCAAACATCTATCCACACATTATGTAATCATTTCTCACTCTTTTCTAGCTGAGTCATCAAGGGATCACTTGACCCATGGGCCATGCACAGCTCTTGCTGACTCATCATCATACCAACTAGAGTTCTGAATATTTACTTTTGACTCAAAGATACTGTGTAACTTGGTACTATCAAACTAAAGTTACAACTTTAAGTGCGAGAAACTAGTAGTATAGCCACCTAATTTGTCTATATAAGGAGCTGCTTTTTGCCCAATAAAAAAGCAATTCCCCTACTTTTATACTCTTAGAATAAAATTGTGAGTGAAGTGTGAATCAGCATTCAGCAAGTGCAGATCAAGGTTGGAGCTCACTGTGCTCAACAACCAGCACCACATATCTGAGCTCACTGTGCTGAACATCTAGCACATACCTTGAGCTCACTGTGTCTGACGACTAGCAAGACTAGTTCTTCTTTTTCTGTTTTTCTTCTGATCGTCTGTTTGAATTTCTTTGTTTCTTTTTGTGTCTTTGTCTGTGTCTCAATCTCTCTGTGATTTTCTCTGTGATTGTGTGTCTGAGTGTTTGTTTGTTTTTCTCTCTCTGTCTCTCTGAGATTGTGTCTGAGATTTGTGACTGAAACTTGTGTCTCTGTTTCTTTGTCTCTTTCTCTCTCTCCATCTCAAGTGTGTGGTGTGTTGGTGACTAACTGTGTTGATTGTTTCTCTGATCGCTGTCTCTGTGTGTTGTGATCATTGTTGCTAACAGTCCTCGAGAACATGTTAGTGTTTCTATTGTAGCGGTCTTGTGTTGTTGATTGTCTTGACCTATCAACTTTCTCTCAAGTACCAAAGTTTCAGTCTCATTCTTACCCAGAAGTTTGGTGTTGTCTCTTTTGTCCACTGAAGACTTAGGATAGTCTTGTGGGGAGACTTTAGGTGTTGACAGTGATACCTGACCTCATACATCTGTGTATTATACCGGTCGAGGGTAGTCATTGCGAGTTAGACTTTAGCTATTGAAAGGGGATTTGGTATTGAAGTCCAAGATCGCCCATTCCTGAGTCTGTTTGAATACTCATTGTGAGTTCCTTGACAGCAGGTTCAATATTAGGCTAAGAGTGCTACAGAGGCTTGACTAGGTCTGACGGTAGTTTCACCTGTTTTTGTAACTGAGGGGGACTCTCATTGTAACTCCACACAACTTTCTGCACTAAGTTTGTGTACGAATCATTGTTGCTGTGTGAAGTGTTAGGAAGAGTATCTCTGTTGTTTTTGTTGTCATCTCTATATTGTTAGAGTGATTGTGTTTCCTGATATTTTTGTTGCTATTGTTTTGTTGTTTTGTTGTTGTTGTTGTTGATCACTGACTGACTGTGTGTTGTGTTTCTGATCGCTGTGTTTCGTATCCATACTGTTGGATTGACTGTTGACTGCTGACCTTTGTGCAGAACTTACTGTACTGACTGTACTTTAGGAGCATAAAGAAAGCCACCCATGAACAACCACATTATCAGTCATTGGTATTTGTCTGAATTGCTGACCAGTGGAGATATTTGGTTTTATAGGTGTTTATCTATAGATCATCTATCTAAGAAGACAACAGTGGTTTGTGGATGTGTCTAGATAGACATTAGAAAACATTGTACCATGGTAATATAATCACTTACTCAAAAGTAAACTGCTGGCAAGTATAGTACTCTTGAAGTTAGTAGCCAACTGAGCAATGTCCTTGCACAAGTACAAACAAACAAATTGCTTGGCTGCTGAACTCATAAAAAATGCCTTAGGTGCCATGGTAAAATCTGAGACATCATGAACCATGAAGACCATTGCTTCAATGCCCACACACTGTTACGCACTCAAATAGATCTGTTATGCGGAGCCCTAAGAGGGGCGTCGTCCGCTAACGTTCGTGACATAACTGGAAGGATCCGGTATGGCAAGTGAGACTGGCGACGACGAGTCAGCAGTGATCACAGTACGTGCGTGTCACATGACTTCTAAGACGGATGTCTATGAAGTCACTCAAGGTAAGGACAGTCTTGTCCGAACGATGAGGTCGATCAAGGTAGACTTAGTCGCGACGAGCAACTAAGAAAAGATACTAGAGACTGAAGCTGAGGGGGCTTCAGAGAGAAGTATGTTCCAAGGAAGATTGAGTAGATTCAAGTTAGAGAATCTAGTACAGGGTGACCGACTACTTATACTAAGTGGAGAGAGTTAAGGGCAAGGCTACCGCACAGTAGGTAAGGGTAAAGGGGAAATGAGAATGGTATAGGTGCATTGGCAACAGAGCCGGATTAGTGGTGGATGGTCGAATGTGGAATGAGACCGAGAAACATTGGAACGGACCAACGGTAAGAATACAATGTGCGGGAGTCCACAGTCAGAAGAGGACAGGAAAGGAAAGCCACATTGGTGGCATGAGTCAGACCGAGTCAGAGACGCAGGACCACATTGGTGGTCGAGTCATAGGAGGAACATGCGTGCACGTGCCAGGAAGCAGATGATGTGGGGGATGGGAACGGTCCTGAGGATCCGGTCAATGGAAAGTCGGTAAAGGAGGACGAGCCAGTAGATGGTGAGGGCGAGGATGAAGGGAAAATGATAGGGGGGCCACGTGACCGATGTTACTTGTAACAAGATACGCAAGTTGGATGATAGAAGGACCTCCAGTGAGCCATCTGGGTGGTCTGGAAGAACAAAGTGTGAAGGTGATGGGGTGATTGGAGGTGAGACAAGTGGCAATAGGCTAGTCTTTGCCCTGCCTTTGCCCTTAGTAGGAGTTTGCATTTGCATTTGCGAACTTCCTGCTCTCCATCCTTTATTAGTGCATGACAGCATAAAGCTTTGAGTGAGAGGAGCTGCATATCTAGAAAGGAAGAGTTGGGTGATCTCAGCGACCACAGGATGTAGTTCATGGTGCTCAATGAGGATCTTGGGGTTAATGTAGACATTGGCATTGAGAGATTCAGGAATGATGGGTGTGCCTGGAGGTGTGGCGCCTGGATGATGCATGAAAATGGTTGAACCACCTGTCAGTCTGTCAAGGATGGCACACTACATATATGGTCAATATAAGAACAGCACACTAGATAAAATACTCACCAAATCAAATATATGAGCCATGATTATCTCAACATGTGTGGTGTGCACGCGACAATTTTGCATCTTGTCATCTGAAGACACCTTTTGATATTTGCTGGTGCCTGTTTGGTAGTGGTCCGTAGTCGATGTGTAGAATCCATCTTCATCAAATTGCAAGTGTTTTCTGTCCTCATGAAAGCTGTGTGTGAGCATCACTAAGATCACTGATGGCCATCGTTCACATGCTCCTGAAATTGCAGATAGGTTTGGGGGTAGAGGAATCATAGCAAGTGCTTCCTGGAAACTGGTGACAGAAGGTGGCCAGTGTAATTGAGTCGAAGTTGAAGTGCTGGGTTGAGATGACATGATAGTAAGTGTGTAGGATTACAAGGCTCATCAGTTTATATAGATGGCAATTGTGAGGCAATGCATGTTGTAGTAGGGATCCCGGGGGGTGGAAGCAGGTTAGAGACAGTGTTTGGCTGTGTTTGGAGCGGGAGTTGCCAGTAGCAAGGATAGAGCCAAGCAGAGCATTAGCATAGAGTCATCTCCTCATGAGTGTTTGTCCCCAGTAGAGCAGGCTTAGCCTGTTCCATTTGGTGAACAGAGTGAGATTGTTTCTGAACAGAGTGACTACACTGGTTTCACACACCACCAGAGTCAGCATTCAGAGTATAGAGCCCAAGTATCAGAGTCTAGAGCAGAGCAGAGCACACAAGCTTTGAGAAGTCGAACCATAGACGTTTTTGGACATACATGTCACAAACTGTGAGGATAACACGTTTATAAGCATAGCCTTCTTATCATCATATAAAAAACTGTTGCTAACCACAAACCTCACTTTAGTCAAGCTGCCGCCCAAGAAAACGAAAACCCTCCCACCAAGAGGCCCAGGAGGCCAGTTTATCAAAGTGAAAGCCAGCACTGAAATATCAGACCTCAGTGCATTGGGAGAGTCATCACCACTAGACACACCGGAAAGTGTCCAGTGCACTCTAGACCAAGAAACACTAACAGAATCCGAATCCAAAGTCACTCAGCAACCGGCAGATAACAAGGACAGAGATGACGAGTCATTGCCAGGAGCACCAGAACCAAGCATCATACTCCTGACCCCAGAATTAGACATGCCAGTAGTTCCATTCCCACCCATCCAGTACCAGTATAAACCATTTGTATCGTCAATCCAGTCCCCACAGCAGTTACTCACATATTACAGTGACCTATCTCCATATAATACGAGGGAACGGATGTGCATAATATCCCATATGATATGGGCCAGTGGACCATGGGCCCATGATAAAAATATCCTTGACTATGACAGATGGGCCGGGAGGGAAATTATTTTCGATGGAGGCGAGTGGGCCCATGCAGGGAATATATAGAGTAGATGAGTGGGCCGATGTACATGAATTTGGATATTATGCAGATGGGTGTATTAAGATAGATGTGTATGAGATAGATGGGTAGGTACTTGTTATCACATTCACGGGTGGGCCCAGACGCATATTAAATTAGATGGGTGGGTCAAGGGTATTATAAAATATTGTATTAGATGGGTGGGCCGAGAGTGTTTTATAAAATATTTCATTAGACGGGTGGGCCGAGGGTGTTGTACGGGATATTGTATTAGACGGGTGGGCCAAGGGTGGTATAAAATATAGATGGGTGGGCCCAGGTGTATCATAATTGTAGACATGATGGAGCTGAGGTAGTTGTACATCAACCAAATCAGAGGAGGTAATAAATCAAAGTTACCGAGTTCCCAGAGCAGCAGGTGATCTCTTGACATGGCCTTTGATGGTGCACAGGTTGTCTTGCAGAATGTGGAATCTGGGGTGCGAGGCTTGTGTTGCCTTATGAGACACCCACTTCCGACCACCGAAATTCTCTGAGTTCCGAGTTCCGGGACCTGGGACTCAACACATAATTTAGTTAATACTTTCCGTGTTAAATGGCCAACCGAAGTTGAGATGTTTCTGAAGAGAGCAGCAGGTGCTCTCTTGACATGGCCTTTGATGGCGCGTAGGTTGTCTTGCAGAATGTGGAATCCCGGGTGCAAGGCTTGTGTTGCCCCACGAGAAGCCAAGTTCTGACCACCAAAATTTGAGTCAACCGTACCGAGTTCCGAGTTCCGGGACCCGGGAGTCAACAAATGAATATCTGATATCCAGCACACTTCCAATCAGGTAGTATTTCATTGAGCAATGGATAATAATACATCTTTGACAGCCAAAATTATCCAAGGCTTTCTTATCTGATCCTCACTATCTCCACCCCCTTTAACACCAAAGTCTGGACATCCAGCATTCAGCATCTGATTTCCCAAGATCAACATCCAGCATGAACATTTCTTCCCCTTCCACTTCTGATAGCATAAACATCTGGGGCACTTGGGCCCTGACTGTCACTTATGAAGCAGGGGAATATACCGAACAGAAATTCAAGGCAGAGAAGACTGGAGGAAACCCAGTCATACCTTCTCCCAACCTAGACACTGATCTGGTGATGGCGTGTGATCGCTTGGCTGATGTACTCATAAAGGCATATAAAAATCCCAGTGGGTCTTCCTGCAGATTCGGAAAATTCATTTTATCATTCAAATTCCTGCATGACAGTTCAGATGCAGATGGATATTGCAAGATATAGCAAATTGATCTTCCTGAAGGACACCGGGCATAATGAACAGAGAGAGGCGAAGTTGCTTGAGAGGTGTCCTCCTGGCCATGAAGGCAAAAAGTTGGTCGACGAACCTGCCACAATTCTCGATGCATCCGGTGCCATCATCGCATGGTACCTCCCAGATGCCCTGACCAACACCACCCAGGTGTGTAATATACATTGTTACTCAATGGATATTGAATATCAAATGGAACCTACAGAAGGGAATCAGGGAGGCCACCGATTTGCTCGCTCCAAGCCTCGAAAAAAGTGTAAGGGCTGATGGCAATTGGCGAACTAATCAAAAGTGGTTCAAATGGGGCTCGGACAATGTTAGCTCAACTCCCAGATGCATCAATTTATCTCTGGCATGGTTTCAACAGGGACACAAGGTAGGATCTGATGAGATGATGATTCCGGCAGTCATACTCACCAATCCCAAAGAATGTGTCCGATCCGGAGGTATCTGCATCATTGAAGGGACCTTCCTGTGAGAATATCCTCAAGGCCATTGCAAGGCCAGCAGCCATTGCGTCTGCGGCACTCAGGGTCATGCATCCTGAGCAGTACTGGGCAGGGTTGCGAACCTTGTCAAACCTCAGACATAAAGCAGTAAGCAAGGATCTGCCACAGATGCCGGAGGCCCTGCAGTACTGGGCATCCGTGTTTAACACCCTCTCCATCATTTCCAATTGGGAAACCCCCAATCATCGAGACCATTTGTCCATGGCTGAATGCTTTGACATTCTCACCACCGTGGGGAACTATTCTAATGCTCGGATGACAATGCCAAGCCTTCAGCTGGAGCTCAAGTACAATTCCGGCTGTATGATTGCATTTTCTGGAAGGATTGTGAGACATGGAGTTTATGATGTGGAAGGGGATCGGATTGCTTGGGCATGGTATATGAGGGATTCTGTTTACATTTATGCTGGGGTTCCATCATGTGGATGGGCTAGTGTGGATGGTCCATACAGCGTGTGAAAGATCAAACAAAGAGCAAGCATTGTGACCTATATACATTCCAACAAATGAATACCATGTACCAATGGTTATCCGGACCTCAATACTTGATTTTGAGCATTTGCGAAGTGATATATGGGACTCAATATTTTGGATGCGAGCCTCAGTATTCGATAATTGGAACTCGGGACTTGATATATGGGAGTCCCGAGTGCCGGGGTACTGAGTCCCGAAACCCGGAACTCGGCACTTGATATTTGAGACTGGGAGAAGATGTATAAATATGCTTGAATTAACATTTGTTATTACTGTACACATTTGACACAACCCTGAACCCTGACATTGTGGACTGCCCGGGTTTCAGGGTTCGGGACTCGTGACTTGGAATTCGATACTTTGTTCTGAATACCGAGACCCGGAAGCCCGGGTCCTGAGTCCCGATGTAAAGAGTTGATTCTATGTGGGCGCTACAAAAGTATTACCTTAAGACTCAGAGTGTGAGTGAGATGTTTGTCCCAAAGAGACTGCCTATAGAAATGCTCCTTGATATAAAGCAAGGGATATCTTGTTAAGATCGAAGTGAGAGAAGAAAAGTTACCAAGAGTGCACTCGGTGTTCCGAGGATATGTCCGAAGTACCGAAGTACTTGTCCGAAGTGGTCCAAAGGTGGTCCGACATCTAGAAACGAAGGTCCGAGGTTGCGCGAAGCGTCCGAAGAGCTTCCGATGAACAGCGAGTGTTCCGAGAGAAGTACAGCGGGTGTATCGAAGTATAAGACTTCGCGAAGTATAACTAAGCAAAGACTATTGGGAGAACTTAGAGACAGCGAAGAGCGAAATGGCAGCGGTCAGGCCAAACAATCGTTCTGAATGAACAAAGATCGATTGCGCTGAAGGTTCAACGATACAGCGAGGCACGAACAATGCTCCTGACTGTATCTATAATTGTTGTAAGGTCGTGCGTTGCCTAGTCTGCTATACTTGAGACGACAAGTGCGTTCGACCCTAAAGGGGAAGCGAGTGCAGCAAGGATCTAGAGGTATGCGCTGAAAGCGCTACTGGTTGGCCAATGCGAAGCGCGAGAAAGCGCAGGTGCGCGCAAGGCGCGGGAATGCGCGCGTGTATGGCGCGAAGCGTGGGAAAGCGTGCGCGTGTATACAGATATGAGAGAGAGTAAGAGTGAGTTTGCTTAAGTGATGATATGATGTAAGACAAGAGAAGGGAGATGCGAGGTGTAAACAAATAGATTTCTACTATGTTCTGCTAGGTGAATAGTGGGTAGTAACCAGTAAGTCCTCTGTCGTTCTGGTGGGAGAGTAAGTTTTTTGGGAGTCCCCCCAATAGTATGTACTGCTTGCGCTTAAGTATGGCGCCTAAGCGCTGTCATGCGGAGCCGAAGCGCTACCGAGTAAGGTATGTAAAGATATATGTAAGTAAGGGTCCATGATAAAAATAAAGATGGAACGATAAGCAAATGTGAGAAATGGAAATATACGCACTAGGGAACTTGGTGGACAGTGGATGGATGCTTCCGGATGGCTGGCGCTATAGGGCGCTCAAGCGCGGGAAAGCGCGCGCGCATATACATCGTGAAGCGCGGGAAAGGTACGCGCGCATGGCGCGCGTTGTGCGGGAAAGCTGCGCCTCATATAGAGATAGCTGCGGGTAGCACACAGAGTGATGCTACAAGTTCGTGCCATGTACTCCCCAGTGAAAACTGCCATATTGCACAATGAGAGGCAT